TATAATCACGCGTTTGCAGTAAACAGTGTTCTTCAAAAGCTAATTGATTAACTTCATTCTCTCGGAAAAGTTCAACTACTGAGAGAAATGCTTGTTCTAGATGATCATTAATTCCAATATTAGCTCGAATTAGCGAATTAGAGTTGAAACGTCTTATGCTTGCTTTCTGAGACGAAACTGAACACTGGAAATAACTTGAATTTTGCTCAATACATAAGAAGACTTTGTCTCGGATCTTACTCTCTTGGCAATGTCTTTGTTGTATGATTTACCTCTTAATTGTAGATAAAGAGATTTATCTCTTAATAGTAGATAGAGAGTTGTTTGTCAAACGAATGATTTTGGTTGCAATTTGTTCACGTTACAGCGGAATTGTCAGTGCAATGAACAGGCTTATGCTTCTTATAAAATTTCAGCTTTATGTGGCTCGACCGTCCTTCATATCCGATCATTTGACAGTTTCGGCATTAAGCTGGCCTAAAGCATAGCTTTAACCAGTTTAACAAAATTGACAGTTTGTCTCTTTCGAAGTACTTTGATATTAATTGAAATCAGATTAATAAGAAAGTCTTTGATCATCACCGAAGGACGAGGGGCATATTCATTGCGTCAAAACATTTCCAACGCTCAGAAGGATGCAACAGAGATCAGACAAAGTATATATAGTCTGGATCAGTATCAAATTATAAATTAATTTAAGCATGTCCATTTGTCTGGTTGTCTATCTGTCCGTCGGTGTAATGTCTGTTGTAAACATTGTCCCAGCTGCAAAAATTGGTTTTCTCTTCATTACTCACAAACTTTAGCAAATAAACGTACAAAAATTTCAACGCATATTCTATGAACGATGCTGTAGTATTTGTGTACAAAAGTGAAAAAAATTGACCACGCGTACCCAATATTAGAGTGTATCAGAATTGATATATTGATAATGTGCAGAAACAAACTTCTAAAACCCTATAAAGTATTTAAATTCTTGGCCAGTTTCAAATTTGAAATGCATCTAAAGATGTCCACCTATTCGTCTGTTCATCTGTCTATTTGCCCAACTTTGTAATATTTAAGGTAAGCATTCTCCCGTTAGGGAAAATGAAGAAGAAATCAAGTGCGCCCGCTTCACCTTACGGACCATGAGAATTTCGTTCTTTGCGCCACGAAAAAGTTTAAAAAGTAATTTGCGAGATATTGGGCAAAAAATTTTGGCCGTGAAAACAATGAATTTCGCATACATCTCTCGGTCTCTCCTAAAAAGAACCAAGGATATAATTTGCAGCTAAGGTTGACAAGCCTTACTACGCTACTCGTAATATCCAGGTCTGGGCTCTTCCGATTATTACGTATTCAGATCGATGTGATCAGTCATCTGCGACAGATCAGCGGATTATAGAAGTTGAAGATGTGCAAAAATGACTCTATGGTTGTTTCGCCTCCGGCGTTGTGTACCGCGGCGCCATCGATAAGCTGTCAGATAAATGAACAAAGACTATAGATAGTGATAGTCCATATTTCGACTATTATGCTTCATAACAAGTATATTTGAAAGTGGAATTTTATCAAAAAAAAAACTGAAACGAATTCGTTTGCGCATCTATTATATCAGAATTTTTTACTTCACAATTGCTATTTCTGTCAAAATTATTTTTCACATTTGCTTTTCGATGATTTATTAATCAATTTAATTTTATTGAAATTTATTGTTGATAAGCGGAAAAATACAATTTGAACTTGAGCGGATATTATTATACCATACGTAGCGGTTGAGATGGGGGTCGAAGTAAAACCAAGGCGCAGTGACTTCAGCGTTGGATAGCTATTTGTGAGAACATCTCTTTTTTTCATGTGTTTCAAATATTGTATCGTGACATCTACTTGGGGAGAGCTCATCGAAATTAATCGGCCTCAGCACAAGCATAACGGAAACGCTTATAATTGAAGGCCACTGCAATCACACAGCCAGTGTGACCTGTACGGGTGTACATAGACCTACCATTTAATAAATCTAATACATTTACAGTTTCATCTTCACTTCCAGTAAGCATAAAATTGCCGCTAGGATGAAAAGCCAAATCATTAACGGGTTCGCTACGCGCTTGATATCCCTGAACGAGTTCTTGATCAACCAGATCGAATACTTTTACCCGGCAGAAATTTAAAGCCACTACCATACGATGCCGACCTAACTGTCGCCGCATATCTTTCTCTTCTGTCACACGTCAAACGCATTCGCCTGCTTTCATATCAAATATACGCAAGGACTTCTCATCGCTGCAATATGCGATCAACTGACTATTAGGACTAAATTTAGCCGAGCGTATCAAACCTCTGTGAGTTTTTTTGGGTCAATTTGCCATAGTTTCACTGATTTATCGTCCGAGGCCGCTACTAACATGTCAGTATCGATAAGATGAAAGTCAACCGAACGTAAGGGTTTGTCATGGAATAAAAATTCCTGACAAATACAATGTGCTCTAGGTTCCTAAATTTTAACAGAACCGTCTTGAGAACAAGAGGCAATGGAGTTTGATTTCGGAGACCAGCTAGTACCATTCACACTTTTCGCATGTTCCGAAAAACACAGGCAACGGATGGGTTCGCCTTTTAAATTCCATAGAACATAGAGAAGCGTGCTTGCGTTACCGGTTTTGTGTGTCCCACAAAGTAACCTTCCAAATAAGAATCTGCATTTCGCTCGGAATTCATATTTTTTGACTTTTTTCTTATTTTTTCCTTTTGTCAATTAATTGAATATTGTTTTCAATATTATATCTGCTTGATTGTGACGATATCAAATCTGTTAGTATGTAATCATGATTACAGACTGAATAAATGAATATGCATACAATTTAAATTATGTGAAAACATATCATTAATAATTAAGGTAAATACGAATCTTTGATTTTTGACCTTCTGAAAATATAGCTTCTTCTCATAATACATAACATAACCATATATAGGAAAAGTATCCAGTGTTTAAATTTCTCCATGACGATACCCTTGTACAGTGTGCTTGAAAGACAAGAGACATAGTCAAGTATTAGTAATTGTGGATATTGGAAGCTCGAGTTTCATATCTGACCCAGTAGTTCATCCCTTTATATAGTAACGTTGTTACCAGTAACGTTTTTCATTAACTTTCGGAAGAAATATCTTAAAGTTTCTTTTCTTATCTCTCGCTCTCATGGATGGGAAAAGGGACAATAGTCGATTGCAGTAAAATTCTATGAGCACAAGACAACATTTAAACAACGAAAATAGCGGAAAGTCTATAAGTCATCCTCGTCTGGTACTTCTATAACAAAACAATTCAGGTACACTGAAAAAACTGCTCATTCTAAAGGGAAACTGAAAAACAGCTCATACCAGGATCAGTGGATCCTGCATTGTAATTCCTTGCGAAGATTTAACAAATTTAACATAGGCCAAGAGAGGAATGGGTTTCAGTCGGCATTTTTTCTCTTTGTGGCCAACGTCTGCATTTTCAAATTCGTTCTTACAATTGGAGTATACAAATACACTTCGGAAAATAGTAAAGTTTCCCCGAAACTTTTCATTTTCGAAGTGTCAAAATTTTAGATTGAATTGCACGGAACTTTTAGTAACTTTGACTTTGGCTCCAAACATTCGAATGAGAAACTGCGATTAGTCTAGTAAAGTGAAAAGTATCCACAAAAATTTCCTTACTATACCTGCACAAATGATTATAGATGATTAAGTCGGCACTGTTTTCGAAGATTCGGGTCAAATAGAAAACATTCCAAGTGTGTTTTTTCTAAATATGACCATTCTCTTAGGGGATGACGTCGATACGTATGTAATACCCTTATTAAGTGGGGCAAAAGAAAGAGATAGAAAGCGACCATAGCGTAGTGAATATGTGCCCAATTCTAGGGCAATTTTAAATTCGGAATTCGCTTAAACATGTCTGTCTATTTGTCTGTCCGTCTGTCCGTCTGCGCAACTCTGTAGTATCTGTGGTAAACACACTTCCGTTCGCAAAAATGAACATATCGCGCACAAGTTTGCAAATAGATTTGAAAATGTCTCAAACCGTACAAAAGATAAGCCTATGCACGTCCGCACTCCTAAACAACGAAAACTGTAAACACTTTTGCTTTGTACGTTTCTTACTTGTTATTTATAAAATACAACGCATCTATCCCATATATACTTTGACTTTTATTTTGAAAATGAAAAAAATCAGCCGCACCCACCCAATATCATAGAGTACGAGAATTAAACTTTTTTTTTAATTTCTGTTAGCACAACGGTGCTGGGTATCAGAGATTCGGTCACAACCGAACATAATTTTCTCACTTGATTGCAATTAGGTTTTTTTTATGAAAAGTGGGAAACACTTCTTTCTGTGGGCAGTGTTTACCGATTCCCTTTCTTTCTTACCGCACGCTTGATGAAATGATAGTTTTTTCGTTGCATATTGCGGACTTTTGGTCCTCAGAATTTAAGAAGACATAGCGAGCCTTGAACTATTTCGTTTCAAACGCCAAGGAGAAAACGGAAAGCAAAAAAGCCGTTATTCACAAGCACATCGAGCGCTCATATAAAGAATATATCAATATGCGATGCTTCTTCCAGAATTCGTAGGGAATTCCTTCAAGGTAGTCAGGGTAACACAGAAATAATGCAAATTGATTGAGGGCATCGATCTTTTTGGGAGACTTAAGCTTTCGGTTCTTCCCCTTTTTTCTCTGTGTTATAATTGAGATGTTTGACAGCCTTTCCCAAGTCCTTGAAAAAATACATGCTTCTCAATTATTGAGGGATAACGTATTTACGTTTTTTTCAAACTCACTTGAAAAGTTATTGTATAACGTGAATCAAGTAAATCGGAATTTTGCTTAGTATGAGCTGCTGGCTAGTTTATGAAAACACGGACAATAGCTCTTATTGATTTATATATATATAAATATATATATATATATATATATATATATATAGATATATAAAAAGATTCCTATCGTAAACCTATTTTCTCATTACAGATCTTGCACCCTTTGATTTGAAGGCAATAAGAAAAATTATGAGAAGAAAATCGAAATTAACTACATGTCGTTAATTATATAAAAGCAACAAATTTTGTATCAGCAATTAAAAGGAAAGTGTAATGATGGATATGACAATGGGCTCGTTGCTGGTAGAAAAACGATAATAAAAATATGAACGAAAAAATTGCAACAAAATTGATGATGGCAAAGAGATTAAAAACGGAAACGGAAAAAGAATGCAAGGATGCAGGTAGTCGAGAACTTGGCACAACAGGTAAAAAAAAAAAAATTGCACAAATTAATGCAAATAATATTTTCACTTAATAATAAAAATTGAAGTAAGTTGAGCAGATGTCCAAATATGTTCGCTCCATTCATGAGATAATAACTATGGCTGTCAAACGGAAAAGTTGTCGTGAGGCAAAAATGTGTTTATCGTTTTAATTAATCCGTCCCATTAACGTACTGGAACCACGCAAAAAGAATGTTTTAGTAAAATTGAAATAATTATGTTAGGTTCAATTATCAAAGAATGTTGGGCTATCCCGGAAGGTTAAAAATCTTTCTAATATCGTTTAGTATCCAAATTGAAGACAGTTAATTCTTAATCTGATTAGGTCTTAATTGACGAATCGCTATTTAGTTGTGGTTGTTCATCACTCTTCCCCTGGTGCTTCGTAAGGGTTCATTTTTGAGTCTATCTTGTTTAGTGTTTTTATTAATGATTTTGTTGCCCGTTGTCCCAACTGTCGCATTCAGATGCATCTCTCGCTGTGTAGTGAATGATCTGGTTTAGAGTATAAACAACAATTCGAACAATTTCAAGTTGAAATGAAGTAAAACTGAAGGCATTGTTATTTCGCAAGTCAGATCAGAAATTTAGTCTTGTTTCAAAAGTTCATTCGGACTCCAACACCAGGTAATTTTTATGAGAAAACGTTGTTTATTAAATGTGAACGAACTACTTCTGCTTGACCGTAAGCATTTCTCATCATCAAGTCTATTGTTTGTTAACTTAGATGTAAAGTTGTGGAACCCATTACCACTCTATGCTAAAATGTTTGTTAGAGTGAAGGGGTTTAAAGTGGCTATTAAGGTCATCTATAATTTATGATTTATAATTACGTCTGTATCTACGTCTCGATTTAATACACAGTATTTATCGATATCTATACACTACCGTTTCATCGTTACTGCGTCGCAAAAGACTTTATACTTTTATTGGTACCTTAATATATTAATTTTAATAGTAATTATTATTGTATAATATATATATATATATATATATATATATATAATTGTCATTAATAATTCTAATTAATAATTAATAAACTTAACTGAATCAGCGAGGAATAGTGTTTGGATATATTAAGTAAATGTGCAAAATTTCAATTAGACGATGAAATATTTCGAACCCTTACGCATATAAACGTTTTTATAAACTCGAATATTAAACTCGAATACTAAAAAAATTATATCTTCAACTGCGCGCAATTGTTGTAGAATATAAATTTCTGTGACGCGAAGATAGCGAAGATGCGTGCGATATAATTGGTTACAAATTTCCGCTCGTGGTGGCAACAACAAGATATTTTCACACGTATATACACTGTTAGTGGTTTCACATATACGGGAATCGTTTTTTTGCCATCCAATTATATCTATAAATCTGCATGTGAATGACTTACTTGATATTAAAACCAACATAAACCTTAGACATACTACCATATGTTAGCATATTCGCATTTTATCGTCATATATATATGTATATGTTAGTACTGCGTTTTATGACTTCACGTAAGCGAAAAAAAAAGAAAAAAAGAAGAAATGAATGTTAATGCTATCGTTTCTATTTTATGGTTCATACTGTGGCACCATAATCGATTGACTTGGCAGCTTATGTCGACGGGAAAAGATTTTTTGTTTCATACGAATAAATTCCCAACCCAGACTCATTGACTTGAGGATAAATAATGAATACATTTGAACGATATCTCAAATCAAGTTCTGTGCATTAACTTATGGGTGATTATAAAGTAAGAAGAGAGTGCAGCGCGTTCATTGTTGTGAAAAATTGATTAGTGATTTTACAAATACTAAAAACAGATAAGCAGTAAGCAATTCCCATGGTCGTGAGGAAAAGCAATCCGAATGTATATCGACAGTCTATAGTGACATTTAATTACGGCAAATATTACGATGTCATCGTTTGTTTATTATCAATAAACGTTTTGATTGCTTTGGGGAATCCTTATGGAATATGTTTAATGGTCATAAAAATCCAAAATACTCCATAATTTTATGAATCATTCCAGAGTAATTCTCTATCTATATCATTATCACGATATACATACTAAGCACGTCAGTTCATATTTATCGGTCACTACAGAGATGACATGAATAATATAAAATCCGTTCTTGATGTGTTTTATAAGTGGTAACCCTCAGAGTGTGTGTTTGTAAAAATCAAGATGGAATCTGGTAGAATTTTGAACGTAAACTTATATTGACCAAAGAACATTTTTATATATTGGAAGTGAAGCAATCTCCTGAAGCCTGAATTAATCTCTAAAGTGAATCAAGTTTCATTTATTCATTTAAGTTAAGGAATTTAAAAAATTATTATTAATATTGTATTTAAAGCAACAATAAGATTAAGGAAAAAATGTAAAAAAAAAAAATCTTGTGAATCACAAAGAAAGTAAATAAATTTTAAAATATCTTCAACAACTAATTATTAAGTCAAGAAACACGTTTTCCGATTACATCCTGTTGATCGTAAGCTTTCCTTAAAAAACATGTGATGTCTCATAGTCACAAAGTTTTCTTGCAGCGGAGTTTACGTTTTGCTTTCTCCGAAGTCATTTTCAATGAAAAGAGGAAAGGTGAAGCAATATGGTGGGGACATTGGTCCGGTCGTCATGTTTGCACAAAATTGAAATTGAAAATTTGGCTCGCAAAAAACTTATCGGTTAGGGAAGGCAATAACTTCAACCTTAATTCTAATCACTTCTGACATCTTGGTGGGTTAATTATGCAACTATGCAAATATTAAACAAACTGACTAAAGTTTATCTAACAAACCAAGTTTTGGTTGCAGCTATAGTTGGTGCTCAGTCAGTAAAGCCGTAACATTTATCGATTGGACCTCCGTATCTATTTTTTTCTTCCTATTTCCCGCGTTACGCGAATAGGAAACATACCCTGAGCAATTGGTCACATAAAGAAAAAAAAAAAAAAGAGAAAAAAGAGCTGGGCAAGAAGAATGGGAAACTAGATATTAAAGCCAGCAAATCTGCACATGTCCGAATAATGGACCCAAAAAAGCGAAATCAGCATCTGCGATGAATTATGAGGAGTAGCATAACGCCATCGTAGAAATTAGAGAAACATAAGCTAATTTGTAAAGCAGAATAAGTTGTTAGTGTTATTTAGTCCTCAGTTTGTTAATTTTTTGGCTCAATAAAGTGCAGTCATATTGACCGAGACAAAAAACATTTTTTCGGGTTTTCTTAGAACGAAACAACAACACACGTTATGATTTTTCCTATTGCAATATTTGACCAGATGCTTCTGATGCAAAATAGATCATATCAGTAATCATTTACAGTTATTCACTATTGCGAATACTGCCACAAAATTATTAAATGTTACTGTTCTAACACGGGGTAAGTTATAAACAACAGTTTGTCCCAAGTTAATGAGTGTACTCTTATGTAAGTGTGTACGTGCTTATGCGTATACATGCGTATACGTTGTTACGAAAATCCTACATTCGATGATTTGAATTTACTTGAAAACTAGTTTCCAAGAAACGAAATTCGGAAAAGCGAATACACATTCATGACGTTTTATCTGCAGCATACTGCTGGCGACTGGCGAAACGATCAACCGGAACAATTTAGTGCAAAGAGGGATTAACACAAAAATGATGGGATAAAGTTAGGTACAAGTAACTTTTTTGTAAAAGGATATGTAATCAGTGTATTTGCGGGAGACGAAGAGCATGCAAAGAGCACTTTATACTGCGTTATATACGGCATATACGATATATGTACGATATTGTATCTCCAAGTCAGTAATCAGTGAATGAACTATGCAAATTTGCGAATTATTTGGATGCGTTTACACGTTTTCATTGAAGTGCAACAAGCAACAAATGCACGTTACGTTATATGTAAATAAATATAAATCACATTGATTTATTAGTTTCGGCTGGCTTAGGATGAGAAATGATCTTCAAGTGCCTAAATAAGTTTAGGATGGCATCAAAAACATTTTAAAAAATTGCTTATCTACGATGGCACCGTTTAATTATCGGAATGACAAAAAAAAATTGAGAAAAAGATTCTCGCGATAAAAGAAGAGGAGGTGGAAGACGGTTTAGGAGAAATCTGCAGAACTGTATGTGGCCGACTCGGTTGGGTATGAGACGGCTCAGTGGGTTGCCTCTACTTTTCATATTTCATTATTGAGCAGTCATCAAACCTGTAAACGAAGATGCTAATTGTCTTTGTTCTTTTCATGTCCACTGTAGTCCGGGTGCTGGATATTGATCCTTTCACATTGATCGTGATAACAGATATTTGATTGCGACGCTTACTTTTCATGAAAACATTCAACTTTTGCGTCGTTCATTAGCAGGAGCTTTCCATTTTACCAGAATAGAAAACGTACACGTTAAAAAGTAGCAAAGCATAATAGTAAATACCATCACTAAGCATTGTTAGGGCTTAACTTTACTTTTCATACTTTCTGGGTTAAAGGCTGTTTAGTTATATATGTATTAAGGTGCGTTTGCGGTTACAGTATTATATCCTTGGTTTCTCTTTGTCATTTATTAGTTGGCTTTAATGAGATATCGTGCCCCTGCATCTGCATTTAACAGTAGGTTGTTGTTAGTTGCAATATGAACTTCACTCTCAGGTAACATTTTTTTTTTATTTTTTATTTTTTAACTATAATAAATATATGGTTTTTTCTTACTGTTTCTTACTCAATTTGTGTGATTATCTTTCTATACTGCCATGCCCCTTTTTCTGCGGTTTACTTCTATGCCAATAGTTTGCTTAAATTATAAGCTTGATATATAATATTTTATATTTTTGGTCAACATTCAAACATACTTTTAAATGCTTTAGTGTAGTAAGCGCTTACAGTAATTTAAACAGTTATTTAGCCATCGAGCTATTATTGTCGTTAAAAAAGTTTCATCAAATTGAGGATAATTTCTAAATAATTCTTAAGTTTTATCCCATGAAGGCCGTCTATTAA